CAGCAGGAAAGAGGTGGCACAAAGGAGTAATTGAAGAGAGATTGATGAAGGGTTTATTACAGAGGGATGAGCAGAGTTAAGGGGACCAGAAAGGGATGACAAAGCAAGCACCCAGAGACTAGCAACAGTGGGCAAGAGAAGGAAGTATTGCTCCTGGAACCCCCGAGCTCTGTGGCTACGCAAGAGGGGCTACCCCATAGGGGCACAGCCACTGCTAGCTGGCCGGGCAGAGACAGCCTTGGGGAGTAAATAATTCAGCCCATCTCACCACCTGCTGGTGCCTTCTGTTGGCCAAGCCCAACTGGAAAGCAGAAGGCAAGGTAGTCCTGGTAAATGGATTTCATAGAAGTCAGCCTCCAGGGCCCAGAGCAGGGCAGAGAAGGGCGGAGAATGGATCAGAGGGGGAAATGAGACTAAGCAGCATAATGACTGATCAATATTTTACCTTAAATTTAACATTTGACCCCAAACAAGCTGTGAAGTATGAGACTGAGCTGGTAAACTACTAAGGATAGTTGTTGTGAGAAGACTTATATATCTAATTTTTAAAGGTCAAGCACCTTGGAGAAATGACTGATTCTAGGGCTAGGGCAGGGAAAATGCAAGATAAGCCTGGAGCATCTTATAGTGCCAGAAAGTAAGGAAGTGCTCAAAAAACAAAAGGATGGGTATGCCAAAGGGACAAGGGAGCCAGCCTGAAAGAGCTCGCAGTGGCCAAGGCTGGAACAATTGGAGCAACAAAATAAATGATGTAACGTTGGATTGTAACCCAAATTATACAATAAATGTCTATGAGTACAAACTGATATCAATAAATGATTTAAATAAACAAATGGGGGAGAAGAAACAAATCCTCCTTACAGAAGTTTTCTAATTTACTAGACACCACCCTGCCAGCAGGTGGAGCAAAGTCCCCTACCTCGTTCCCCCAACTTGAGTGTGGGCTGCATTTAGTGACTTACTTCCAAAGAGCGGAGTATGGAAAAAAAGGGGGAAAAAAGAAAGTGACTTTACAGTGGAGAAACCTGGAGAACACCACCTTGTCCAGGCGATCGAGGTTAGCATCATCAGTGACGTCACATGGCTATCACTACCCCCTGATGTGATGTGATGAGACGAGGTCTTCACCTGTGGGGTGATCTTCCTAAAAACTGGTAACCCCAGTCTAAGCCTGAGAAAAACATCAGACTAACATGAATTGAGGCACATTCTACATACTACCTGACCAGGACTCCTCAACACTGCCAAGGTCATCAAAAACCTGGAAAGACTGAGAAACCATCATAGCCCAGACGAGCCTAAGGAGACATGACGACTAAATATAATAATGTGTTCCAAAGGGGATTCTGAATTAGAAAAAGGATATTAGGGAAAAGCGAATGAAGTCCAAATTGAGTTTGGAGTTCTGTTAATAGTAATGTATCAATGTTGGTTTCTTAGTTATGACAAATGTACTGTGGTAATGTAAGATGTTAACAACAGGGGAGAATGAGTAAAGGGTATAGGGAACACTGTATTAGTTTTGCAACTTTTGTATAAATCTAAAATTATTTTAGAGTTAAAAAGTTTATTTTAGAAAGTAATCACCATATTACTTTGAATAGTAAACACTGGAGACTCCCCTGGTGGTCCAGTGGTTGGGACTCTGTGCTTCCACTGTGGCAGGGCGTGGGTTCGATCCCTGGTCGGGGAAATGGGATCTCACATGCCTCACAGCACGGCCCCTTCCCCCGCAAAAAATAAGAGTAAACACAGTGTTAATAATGTAGACACTGAATATTGATTTATTCAAAATTACATATAAATTTGTTGGGAGAGGGAAACCTCTAAGTTCTGTAATCAATCCACATGTGATATGGAAATCAGTACCAAAACAGTTACAGCTAAAATAGTTGTAAATGGCTACCCCAAGGAGGAAATTAGGCAGGGGGGTCCTGCATTTTGTTTTTGTGTTAAATGAGCCATGTAGAATTATTTGACTATAAACTATGTGCATATGTTACTCTGATAAAAACAAATATAAAAAAAACGTGGATGGGAGAAAAAAGGCAAAGCCGCTATTTCTGAATTTTGGCTTCAGGACTCAGAATTGAACTTTGGCAGGGATCTCTCTTGCTGTTGACCCCCAAGCAGCTGTTACTGACTATTGAAAAATCTGAAATTTTCACCACTGAAGCTTAAATCTTACAAATTAAAATAAGGAAAGTTAAACCAAATTTATTTTTGTGGTACATTTTTTTTAACTGTCTTTATTACTTTTAGATTTGTTATTTTAGTGAGAAAAGAGATTAAGCTGAATATTCAGTCCTTCTCTCTTCCATTTCTCAAGAATTTATTTTGTTAGCACCGATAAACGACGTATCTGCAGTATTTGTAGAGGAAAAATATAATAATATGACTTTCCCAATGTTAATTGTTTGCTTTTTCTTTCTCTTTCTTTCTTTCTCGCTTCCTTCCTTCCTTCTTTCCCTCCTTCCTTCCTTCCTTCCTTTCTTTCTTTTTCTTTTTCTTTTTCTCCCTTCCTTCCTTGCTTCCTTCCTTCCTCTCTCTCTCTCTCTTCCCTCCCTCCTTCTGTTACCTCCCTTTCCTCTTCCTTTCTTCCTAGTGGGGTTATTGCTCAAACACTGTAGTTTATGCTTATACCAGACCTGATCGTCCAGAGTACTGTGTTATATTTTGGGATACAAAAAACAACGAGAAATATGTTAAGTATGTGAAGAGTCTCATTTCTATTACTACTTGTGGCGATTTCTGCATTTTGGCTACAAAAGCTGATGAAAACCATCCTCAGGTAGGTGTTCCTTGATATCTTAAAACTTAGATGGGTTAACTACTTGGCAGAATTGGGCTATAGTTCTCTGTCTTCTCAAGCATGGCCTCTGTACTGGCAGGTACAGCAAAGTATTGGGTCTATTGGCCATGTCTGTCTAGACCTCTGTTTGGAAAGTTATATGACTCCGTTGGTTCTGTGTCCCCTGAATTTTTTCTCCAATTAGTTAATCCATTGGCAGTTTATATTGACCGGTACTGAAGCTTTTTGTCTCTGAAATATATTTAAAATACCACAATTCTTTTCCAATTTAAAATTCCATAAGTAGAAATGAATAACCAGATGTTTAGTACAAATGCTCAAGAAATTATGTAACAATGGCCATTTATAACAATTTGGGTAGCATTTTCAGAAATGTACTTTTATGTGGACTTATATTGCTTTAAAAGACAATGTCTCATAACATACAATAAATAAATAATGCCCTTTAAAAAAGTCTGCTAACAATTTAAATATTTGCAGAAGTATGCAAATTTTTCAAAAAAGGACTACCAATGTCTTTGGCTGTGTTATAAATTATTTTATCCCATTAAAAAGTATAGAATTTTTAGTTTAAGGTGGCCATTTGAACGGCCACATTTGGCTTTGTTCTCTCCTGAAACTGGCTGAAACAACAGGAAAGCTATTTTTTAAAAAGCTATAAGCCTATAGGGATCAGAAAGGGAGAGGAAAAAGCAACATAATTTTGGAGTTTAGAGAGTAGGGAGATTAGTGGTAATTACCTTAGCAGACCCAAGAAAATGGAACCCTCAGCCATCAGTGGAGAAAGGAAAGAAGCAACGAGTTTACATCACAGAATCCCAGAAACACAGGACTTGGTGGTGGTACCTGGTAGGAGAAAGAATTGAACAGAAAAGTGATTTGGAAGTACCAGAGATTATGCAGGCAGGAGAATACTTTGGGAAAAAGAAAAAGGGTCATATAAAGGAGCAGATTTCTAGATTCCTTCCCTCTACTGAGCCTGTGGGCAGCTGCCCTTCTAACCACAAGGGAGGCTGGTTTACCCTCCAGAGAGGATACAGAGTCCCTGCACTGAAGGGCACCAATCACAGGGAAGGGTGGTGGAACTCTTGCTGAAAACAGGGCAGTTAGATTAATGTTACCGCAGTCTTCATTTCCCACTTGGTTCCAGAACAGATTTCATGGGATCAGGTATCATAATGGCATTTGACTTGTCAACCTCAATACTTTGGAGAATTGCTTTCAAAATTCTGAGCGAAAATGATTTCCCACTTTGAATTCCATACCTTAAGCAAACTACTCATTAAATATGAGGGTAGAATAAAGACATTTTTAGATGTACGAGATCACCAAAAATTTACCTTCCAAGCTTTCTTAACTTAGGAGGTTACTTTGGGATATGGTTTACCAAAACGAAGAATAAACTAAGAAAGAGGAAGAAACCAGGTAACCTGACAACAGTGGTGTGGAGTGGTACCAGCTGGCAGTTGTGCACATGCCTAGGGAGTGAGTCATCAAATGAGAGCAGCCCAAGGGCTCCAAAAGAAATTCAAGATGAAATTAGTAGAATAGTTAATGTGGTTGACCTCCTGAGGGGAGACATAGATAACTGGGAGACAACTGGGGACTTGAGTTAGTAATGAACACAGAGAAAACTAAGCAAAGAGAAAAAAATAAAGGCAGTTATCCACGCCAGGGAAAGCTTTAAAACATGCTTGAAAGGAAAATAAATGTTATACTTGCCTCAGCTGTGAATAGCATTTAGAGTCAAAATGATGTATTCACTAGATTTTTTTAAAAATTAAAGTTGTTTAAAAATTGAACTATAATAACAGTTTAAAACTTAAACTCTGATTTAACAAGACTGTTAGTGGAAAGATGGAGCGATGGGAGTGTGCTCCTGTGTAATGGGAGGCTGGGAAGGAGGGGTGAAAGTAATGGTTACGTGATGTCCTGAATTGAAACAAAACGGAACAAGAAGTAGCATTGTAAACATGTTACTTACATTTGTGGAGGTAAATAGCAAAAGAATGAATTACAGGAGCTGAAAGTAATTACTCTAGGGAGCAAGAAATGGGAAGTCGAGGGACTTCTGTTTTTAGTAAGATGTCTCATTTGAGTCTTTAAGCTATGAGCATGTGAATAATAAGTATGTAAAACATTTGTATTTTGTGGCAGTAAATAAGCTTGTTTTAAGTAGTGGAAGAGTAAATTATGATATTTTACTGTAATTTTTATCATTTAGCTTACGTTTATGAAATTAAACAAGTTTTACTTGAGATACTGAGAAAAGAAGTCTGTAAATAGTATGTTGAGAATTGGTTTATTTGAAATTATTATTCTAATCGAGAAAGCATCTATGTAAAATATTATTCTTAGTACTAGAAATAGAGAAGGTGACTAACAGCAAAATAAATGAAATTACCATTAGAATAATCTGATGTAAAGTGTGCATTATGTTTGATTATTTTTCCTAATATTAATCATTGATAATTGTGTATGTGTTAACCACTGGGCATTTTAAGTTATTTTCATTGGGTTGGGTTATGTTTTTTTCTGAATTAACTGAATTTTTCTGAATTTCTCATGTCATTTATATATTGCTTCAAAGGAGGAAAACGAGATGGAAACATTTGGTGCAACGGTAACACATTGTTCGCTCTTACATAGCTGGTTATAGGATAAAACTGAGTTTTGAGGTTATAGCTGACCAGGAATTTTAGAAGTATAAAAATAAAAAGTAGCCAGTGTACTTGTGTTTCTTAAATGGTCTCTTAAAAACGAGTGTTCCACTATATTGAGAAATCAGCCTTAGTTTAATTTTAGTTCATATGTTTTTACTTTTTCTTTGCTGTTCTTTGTATTTAATTTTATCAATTCTTTCCATGTGAGTGATACTTGAAAAAGAGACGAGCATGGTATGTTAAGCATTATTTCTTTTACAATACATAAGCAGGAGTTTTGATACTTTCTGTTTTATTTGTTCACAGTTTGTGCTAGTTCTTTGTAATTCTATTGGCACACCTCTGGATCCCAAACACATTGATCTTGGTAAGGAAATGTTAATATTTACTCCCTCTTTAATCAAGTCTTATTTGTAAACTAATTTTAAAATGTAACAATGGTATTATTAATTAGAACGGTATTCTCTAAAACAAGGATGAACATACTTCCTGGTTTGCCAGGTTCAGGTTCAGTACCAGTCTATGCCTGTTGTCATGGTAAAATTATTAGTAATGCCCCATTTCACTCTCAGAAGGATCCTGCTTAATACAATAACTTTTAAGTTCACTCTGTCTAAAATTCACAATAATCTCACGACTGCTATACTGCCATCATTTGCTTTAAATGGGAAATATAATTGTATGAGAATTGGTATCCAGTGTAATGATTAGTATGTAATACACTGAGGATTATAGAAAGAATTCTGCCATGGAACCACTTTTATTATTAATAAACTGCCAAGTACCTCTCTTCCATAAAAAACACTTTAGCTGCTTGTTAAAGTGAGTTTGCCCTGTCCAGATTTTTCTGATGAAATTAGTTAATTAATAGGGACAACTTTTAAAAATTCCTGACTTTTTTGTTTTCAGAAGACATTTGTTTCTTTAGATTTACCCTTCCCTCTATCCAATAGCTATGAAAGTAACCATAAAAAATTCCAAATCTTATTCGTAGTATTTTGTCAAAAATTGTTACAAAATATTTTGTTGCCAATTTTACTATAACTTCCAAAATAATGATTTTCTTTTAAAGTGTATATTAGTTTATTGGATATGGTGTTAGAAAAAATAGTAGCTTTCAAAAATTGAAAGCCCATTGAATTATATTCTGAATCTGAGGACTAGTCTTTTGTTTTTATAGTTCACATTCAGCCTTAACAATTAAATGTTAAAGTGTGCCTTCTAAGTATTTTGCTAAAGTCTTTGGGTGATACAAGCAAATGTGAAGAATACTTACTGGCCTCAAAGATTTTAAACTCTATGTTTAGGGTCTTGGTAACTCACTTTTAAACACTGAAACTTTTCAACTTCTTGTCTTATGTTCAGTGTTAGGTATGTTTATATGTTTCTCTCTATATATTTATATATGTACATAAATGTTAGTGTTCTTTGTTAATGTTAATATTCCTTAGCTTAAAATTATTATACTTATCACATGAATATCTGCTATTTATTAGAAATACAATAGTCTTAAATCTAAGGGACGAATTCTGTCAGTCTTCAGATTACATGCTTTTTCTTTTAATATCAAAAGTTTTAACATAATATCATAATGATGATAGGGTTAGCCTCAAAGTAATTTTAAGCACATGCAGTCTATGCTTTAATAAAGCCAGATGTAAATCCTTTACCTTCATAAAATGGCAAATGCTTGAGGGCATGATTATTTGTAGTTTTGAGTCTTGAAACTTTTTTTTTTGCAGTCTCACTGGCTAAAATTTTAACAAACAGTTCTTTCACTGGTCTGCAGTAAGTTCAGCCAAAAATTCAACATTTTTGCTTCACACATATCCTGTGAAATTTCTTTTTTAAGTTTCTATGCCAAATTTTCATGAGGACTGGAGGCTAAAGCAAAAAAAGTATATAACTGATATTGTTCTAGGAAATGTGATTTGTCATCTGCTCTTCCTGAAGATCTCTAGAGAAACTTTTAAAAAGAACATTATGTGTTATTACAGAAGTTTAGTTTGTGAGGCTCTGTTGTACTGTACATGTAAGAGTTAGGTACCATTTTGGGGGCCTCTTTCTTTGAGCCCTCAGTATACCTTTGGTGTACTTCTATCCAAAGTACCTACTCTACACTGTGATTATTGATTTTCTTATCTACCTTCCCTCCAAGATTTTGAGCTTCTTAAAGCTCTAACTATGTTTATTCATTTCTGTATCCCCACTGCCTAACGCTGTGCTTGCCCCATAACAAATGTTTATTGAATGTATGAAAATATTTAAAATAAAATCTATTTATTTAGCAAACCATCAATGAGTATATGCTGTTTCAGGTCCAGTACTGGGTACTGGGAGTGATAAGAAATTAACTCTGACATTTCCTGTAGAATGTTTAAACAGATAATTAAAATATAGTTAGTCTATCGAACAATGACATTTGCTCCCCTGCTGTGTGCTAGGTTTTTGTGCTAGGTGCTAGATAAGTAGATATCGGTGCATAAGGATGTCAGGGACCTTTTTTTCTACTTAGAGAAGGTTTCATTTGAGCTGAGTTCTGAAGGATAAGTATTTCTTCAGGTAACATTTTAAGGAGAGGAGACAGGATTTGCAGAGGAATGAAGGCATGAAAAGTGCCTGAGAAGTACCAGGTGCCTGTGCTGCAGCCATTTTGTGGGGAGCACGTAGGAGCTTTCTAATGGTGGCCGGTAGCATTTGCAGTAAGTCTTCTATATAGGCCAGAGAGAGGTGATTTGATGAAAACAGTTCAGTGCAATTTCAGTTTGCCAGCTCTTTAAAGGGCTGAGAGATAGGTAGAAAAGTGGGGGAACATTACAGATGTAGACATTTATTTCAAGCCTCAGCATCAAAATATTACAAGCAGGTTTTACTTATATGTGAATTCCTAGATTATCCTAAATTATTTTACATCCTTGCTTAGCTAGTAACTATTACCTATTAGTGTTACAAATTTCAATTAATGGAAGCATAATTACTTTCTTTACAATTTTTTCCCAATGATCTTTCTAGATATTTCACATTTTTTCTTTCTGGATACTGAATAGTTGAGAAGGACATGGACTGCTTTTTTCCTGGTTATGTTTTTTTCCTAAAATATTCAGTCTGTTAAAATTTGGTCTTCTAACTTTTTCCTAGAGGCTTAGTTGTAGCAAACCAAGAACTAAACCACCTGGATGGGATAGATAATAAATGATGATCTAGCATAATTTATGTAGATAGGATTATCTACCCATATGAATTTGCCAAAATTACTGCCATGCTGATTCAGAAGAACATGTTTCATATATATTGTATTTGTTTTTTGTATTGACTAGTGAATTTATATATCGTTTTGTTATAAAAAGCAAAAAATAATAGCAACCACACCTAACAGTTATTAACCCTTAATGAGAAGCAGTCTGCCATAGTGGTTAAGAGCACAGATTCTGGAACCAGATTGACTGTGTTTGTGTCCCAGCTTCTACCGGTTTCTAGCTGTGCAACTTCAGTGAGTTATATAACCATTCCATCCTTCAGTTTCTTCATCTGCTAAATGGGGGTAATAATAGTGCCTGCCTTAATAGGGTAGGGGTGAGTTATGTATGTAATACATTAATTATATATTAATATAATTATATATCATAACTATATAATTATATAAAATGCCTGACATATAATTTTTAAAATTCAATAAATATTGGCATTTAAAATTATTATTATTAAGCATTTATTCTATGCCAGGCACTGTACTATGGTTTATATTTGTTATGTCTCTTAATCCTTAAAGTAGCTCTATAAGGTTTGTAATATTATTATCTTCAGTTTACAGTAAGCAAACAGAGGTTCAGAGAGAATAAGTAATTTATCTAAGGCCATGGAGTTAGCAAGTGCCTGTGATATAAATCCAAGAAGTCTGACTTGCTATGAACCACTAACTTTTAAATTTTGAATTAATTAGGCTGATAATAAACTTGTGATTATTTAGGATGTATCAAAAAAAGGGAAACGTGAGTATAATTTATAAGTGTAGCTAAAAATTGGTTAGAAAAATGCTTTTATATGCTTAGGAAAAACTATTTTATTAGAAAGCAGTTAAGGTTTGTGAACTTACTTCACATCACACTAAAGGCATAATAGTTACCAGCATCAGAGTACCTGTGATAGAATTTACTGAATATTTAGCAAATGTCTTATGATTTAGTGCAGATGGGATCAGCAAAAGCTCAGCAAAGCCTAGGCCTGGCTTGCTCATTTGTCCCACTCAGGGCTCCCCCTGAATCGGGCTCTGCCACCATTCTCAGGACTGCCTTCCAACCAGCTGTTCCCTACAGGAAGGCTTCTCACTCCCTCTAGAGTTTGGTAGTGGTACACATTTTGAATAGAGAAATCTTGACAACTGTAATTTAAAAAAACTTTTTAATATGATTCAATTATACTGAGTTATTTATTTAGCATATAAAAATTCTTGCGTTTGAATCTCGACTTGTTAATCTGTTCAGTTAACACTATACCATCAATCTAGTTTCTAATTCTTTGTTTAGTTCCTAAGTCTCTTAACTGCCCTAAATGTCCTTTATTTGGACTGTGGCAAGAACTCCATAAATGGTAGCTGTTATTAACACTGTTCCTTTATTCTGACTGTATTAATGATTACTTTGTACAGTAGTTTTGAATAGAACAATATGTTTTGTACCATTTTAATTGCGAATTTAGAAATTAGCTACTAAAATGATCTTTTATGAAAGAGTTTTTTTGTTTTTCTATGTTTTTGTGAATGTGTGTGTTTAATTTTATATTGTTTATTTTGTTTGTGACCTTGGGCTAGTTATTTTCCATCTTTAATCCTCTGTGTCTGTAAAGATGGATTTGATGAGACTGCTTCATCAAAGGGCACACAGTAGGGATTTAATTAAATATTCTCTAAGAAATGGAACAGATGAAAAACAATGTTTAAGAGACTATATTCCTAAATTTGGAGAATTTCATTTTCTAAATTAATGAGGAAATATAAGACATATGAGATCAGAGGGAAGGATAAAGGCCTGAACCAAGCAGTAATGGTAGTGGGGATGGGACGAAGGAGTGGGATTTTATTTATCCATTTGGACATTTGGGCTGTTTCTATTTTTTTGACTCTTATGAATGCTGTTATGAATATTTGGGTATGAGGTTTTTGTTTTTGTTTTTTTTTTGCTGTACGTGGGCCTCTCACCTCTGTGGCCTCTCCCGTTGCGGAGCACAGGCTCCGGACGCGCAGGCTCAGTGGCCATGGCTCACGGCCCGGCCGCTCCGCGGCACGTGGGATCCTCCCGGTCCGGGGCACGACCCCGTGTCCCCTGCATCGGCAGGCGGACTCCCAACCACTGCGCCACCAGAGAAACCCCTGTGTTTGAGTTTTTGTGTAGACATACGTTTTCATTTCTCTTGGGTATATACCTAGGAGTGGAATTGCTAGGGCATGTGGTAATTCTATTGATATATTTAACATTTTGAAGAACTACCGAGCTGTTTTTCAAAGTGGATGCACCACTTTACATTCCTACCATTTCTCCGCATTTTTCGCAAATACTCATTATTGTCTGACTTCTTGATTCTAGCCATGCTAGTAGGTGTGAAGTGTTATCTCATTGTGATTTTGATTTGCCTGGTGGCTAATAATGTTGAGCATCTTTTCATTTGCTTAGTAGCCATTTGTATATCTTCATTGGAAAAATGCCTGCTCAGATGCTTTGCCCAATTTTAAATTGGGCTATTTGTCTTTTTATTATTGAGTTACAAGAGTTCTTTATACATTCTAGATGTAATTCCCTATCATGTATATGATTTTCAAATATTTTCTTCCATTTGTGGATTGTTTTTTCACTTTCTTGCTGGTGTCCTTTGAAGCACAAATGTTTTTAATTTTGATGAAGTCCAGTTTATCTACTTTTTCTTTTCTTGCTTGTGGTTTTGGTGTCATATTTAAGAAATCATTGCCTAACCCGATGTCCCATAGATTTACACATAAGTTTTCTTCTAAGAGTTCTATACTTATGTCTGATTCATTTTGAGTTGATATTTCTGTACGGTCCTACAAACTTTTGACTCTTCTGAGTTCTCAGACTGTTTTTAGGGTATATTGTCTATAAGATGCGAGGTTGGACTCAGCGATCACTGAAGTCTTTTGCAGCACATTTTGTGGCTCTGTTAATTGTAACCTAATTGCCTTAATGTTCTTTTTAATAGTACCATTGTTTGTTACAATGACCAAAACCCATGTGATAGCAGCTTCAAAAGAAGCATTTTATACCTGGCAGTATCGTGTGGCAAAGAAGCTCACAGCACTGGAAATTAATCAGATCACCCGGTCTCGAAAAGAAGGGAGAGAAAGGTATATCTTTTGATGAACATTTTTTAGTAGCTCAACCATATCACATTTAAATCGGACGTAGCTATTTACAAATTGTCATGCTTGAGAACTGTAAATTGTTTTGATTACTAGAAATAATTTTCCATTAATTTGAATATCTTTCAGATTTATGTGTTTAAATTTATCAAAATAAAAGAGAGGTAGCATGGTGTAACAAAAGAAAAGCCTTTAGAGTTAAAGACTGGAAACCTATGTTTTTTATAAGGGATGGCTATTCTCACTTATCTACTCTTGCCGTATTAGAGTTATAATGCTACACTGACATATGATTGTCTGACCAAAACTTAATTCCTATGGGTTAGAGGTAGAGGTCTTTCCAGGACGGTGGGGTGATTCTAGTATCATAATCATCACAGGAGAGGCAGGTCCTTAGACACAGATATGGAGGAGGTCTCTAGGTGGGGAGAATTGGTCACTTGCCTTCTTTCTCTTGCCCTAGATTCCAGGGGTTTTGGGGTTGGAACTATTTCTGATAACTGGGGGTAAAGATGACTCTACCACGTGGAGAAATTAGGAGCCAGGATGGAGGGATTCTTTCTAATAAGTATAGCAGTGCATTTACTGTGTTTTGTAAGTTATATTGTCTCTGTTAGTGATATTCCATGTTTGCTGCCCTTTTGTTGCTATCCTAAGGCTTTAAGCAAAGCATTTGGTTGAGTCATTTTAACCTAATGATTGTTAATGAGGGCACAGGCCTGTGTTGGTGGTGGTGGGCAGCGGGAAGTCATGTCAGAAATCTCAGGTTGCTTTTTTCAAATCATTTTCCTTCACGCATACTTGAGATCTTAATGCAATCTTCCCTTCCCTTTAAGACTCACTTGTGTACTAAGGTAGGTGATATAACCCCAGTAAAAGTATTTTGGATACCTGAATTCATGTCGAAGCAGGAAAAAAAAGAAGTGGAAAAATACTGTATCTTGTATTCTCTGTAGTTCTGAAAGACCCAGTGGGAAGAACCTTTGGCCTCTTTGAGGACAGCATGTGGCAGTGGTAGCACTAGTAACAAGAGACCTGCAGTCTGCGGGGAGAAGGTGGATCTTAGGACAAGGTTGGGGCAGAAAATTCTAGCCTCTCCGTGGTGTGACTGTGCTCTGTGAACCAGCTAAAGGGATTCTGGCTTCTGTTTAAATAAAGACGGCATCATTTCCTTATATTTCTGTCTGGGGTATACTTACTAGTTTTAATGACTTTGGGCCAGTTCTCTCTGAACTTCAGTTTCGTCATCTGTAAAATACCGTTGATGATGCTGATAGGAACCAACATTGATGGAGTACTTCTTGTGTGCCAGACACTGGGAAGTCTAGTCAGTACTCGTATTATTCCTGTTTCACAGAGAGGAAACTGAGACACACAGCGTAAATTAGTGGCCAGAGGTTCCCAGCTGAAAAGAGGAGATGGGACATAATGCCAGGTTTATCTGGCTCTGAGCCACTTTACTCAGATTGGCCTTTCTTGTAGTACCCTACTTGTTTTAAGAAAGGGATTTGGGTCAGTTGATCTCTTGAGAGACCTCCTATTCTAACCTTTGACTTATATTTTGTGATAACTAAGTAGAAATATTGACTGTATGTACTTAATGAAAATGTATTAGAAAGCAGAAACATGGTACCTCTAAATTAGTATACCTTTCTGTTTTTAATACATTTCTTTAAAATTTATTTAACATTTGATCTCCTTATTATATTGGTGAAAGTACAAATATGACTTCAATTTAACAATGATAAAATTTCATGATATTTTAAAGATGGAAAATGGCTTAATTTTCCTGTGATTATATTACAGCTGCAATGTCTTGAACTCCTTTTATGTTTCAGGCTCTGTGCATGCGTGCTTTACAAGCATCATTTTATTTATGCCTCTCAAAAATCCTGCAAAGGGGGGATTGTTAGCCTTCTTTTACAGATGAAGAAATTGCGGCTCAGAGAAGTTAAATAACTTGCCCAGGGCCTCATAGCTGCTCAATGATGTGTCTTCTCTGTTCACCTCCATTCATTTTAATGTTTTCTTCAGCAGACATTATAGAGCGCCTGACAAGGTGTGGCAGGCACTGGAGATGTAGTCTTTGCCTTTAGGAAAATCACCATCTAGTGGGAGAGACAAGGAAACTAGCAGCAATACTGTGGTGTGAATAAGTGTTACAGTAAAGGTATCCGAGAGATGGTACACCAGAAGTGGTGCATCTTCATAACACAGTAGGCATAGGGGAGGGTTCTTTACTTCAGAACAAGAATTCCGTTAATTAGAGCTTCCCAAATACACTTAAGTTTTACCTTTATTAGCATATCGTTAGAAGGGAAATTATGGAGAAACAACAGAGAGACTTGGTGCTTTAGAAGTTGTTCCTGACCGATGTTCAACGGGGGAGTAAGGGAAGATATCTCTTGGGGCTTTTACCGAAATTCACTGGAAATACATGATTCAGTGTCCAAATATATTTTTGGCATAGCTCTCAGGAACATGGCACTTGCATAACTAGTAAACACATGGTAGGTAGTTTCTGCCTTTGTAAGATTGAGCTGTGTCAAGAACTCTTTAAAATAATCAGGACAGTAATATTAAATAACAGTATTCATCGGTGTCATCCAATCCTTTAATTGTTCTAGAGATCATGAAATAGTATAAACCTTACTTATACTATCATTGAAATTAAAAATTTTTTTTTTTCAGAATTTATCATGTTGATGATACTCCTTCTGGATCAGTGGATGGTGTGCTTGATTATAGTAAAGCCATTCAAGTAGGTGATTTTATTATTGCCAGCAAATGTTAATATGCATAGATTTGGAAATACTGTAATTTTATTTTGAGACCTGAAAAAAATTTGTTTCCAACGAATAGCATTTTATTCTAGTAATTCTTTTAAAAATTTCTATTCTAATTCAAATTTTTCTAGATCTGTTTTTTCTTCTTTTGATTTCGAAAAAAAGTTTATTTTGACATGATCCTAGGTCCACGGGAAGTTGCAAAAATAGCACATAGAGCCTGTCTACCCAGCTTCCCTCAATGGTGACATCTTACATAACTATAGTGTAATATCAAAATCAGGGAGTTGACATTGGTAATGATGCTGTGAACTAGACTACGACCCAATTCCTATTCAGTTTTCACTAGTTTTTACATGTAGTTTTATGTAACTTCATCACCATAAAGGAATTGCCTTGTGCTGCTTCATTTTCACACCCACTCTCCACCCCCATCCTTGTCCTCTGGCAAAATCACTCATCTGTTTCCATCTCTATAGTTTTGTCTCTCTGAGAATGTTTTACGAATGGAATCATACAGCATGTAATAGCATGTCATCTTTTGAGACTGGCTTAAAAAAATAATCCATCCAGGTTGTAGCAGTGCCATGCCATTTGCCCCCTTCTTTATTTTGGCACGCGCTGATCCTTTTGCTGAATGTTCATCTTTTACAGCTAAGCTCAAGTTTTTGTCTCTCTTCCCATTTTGGTATAAGTTTATGCTCTTCCCTCTGTGCACTTATAACTCGTGTGGTTTACCTCTACTGTGATCATACTGTACTGTCATTAGGTGTTGGTTCCACTGTCTTTCCCAGTAGGCTTCTGAGTAATCCCCGAGGGCAAAGATTTTATCCGAGTATCTCCAGTGCTTAGTTCAATGTCTGGCATATAGTAGGTGCTCAGTAAGTAAATGTTGGTTAAGTTAATAAATATATAGTTACAGCATTCTTCGTAGTGAATTGTATACTACCTTGTACCAGATTAACCAGTCAATAAATATTTGTTAAAGAGTAATGCTGATTTATTTTAGGGCACAAGGGATCCAATTTGTGCCATAACTGCATCTGATAAGACATTGATTGTGGTAAGTTGTTAAAAGGAAAACTTATTCTATGAATAATAATCGTTTAACTTGTTAAAAATAGAATAAAGCAACATGTTTTAGATTTGAATATCATCTTGCGGGCACCTCAAGTTTTACTAGGTCCAACAAAAGAAATAAGAAAGTTTTAAAGATTGCCTCACAAATTGTTAATCATTTGCCAAAAATAACTTTGTGAAAGCTGTAGAATCGTGGCCAGCTGGGGAGAGTTTGAGGCTGGGTTGAATGAGCCCTATAAAGGTTGGCAGATGTGGAGCAGATGGATGGTGGTAGTAGTTCTTGGAAAGTTTCCTCCTCTGTGTGGCCTGCTTTTTCATATTGGAGAAAGTGCTTTGGCTCAGCTGCTTCCATAAGAATTAGAATGAAGAGGTAGTGTGCTTGGTAGCCAGTAAAATAAAGAAGGCTGTGGCAAATTTTTGCTGAAGTTTTCAAATAAAATCAATGTATCAGTGTTGTTGTGCCTTTTCTTGAGCTCTGACATTTGAAAATATTAATTTTAGAAATAAATGTTTAATATAGTAATGCTGGTAGAGTCATTAAATTCGAATTATGTAAATAGATCCTTGCATGTGTATATTTCCAGTTCTAGTTACATTCTTTAGACATTAGCTAAGTTTATGGGGGAAAAAGTCTTAAGAACATAGTATTCATTTTTCCTCACCAAATAAATTTGGTATATGTTTTAAGGCAGTTTGTCTTACAGTCAGGTCAGGTTTTCTTTTTAGATTCTTTGCTATACAGCAGGTTTTTGGTTGTGTTAGTTGTGTTTCTGACATTTGCAGGAAAAATTAAAAAACATGCAAGTCAGATCAGTCACAAAAATTGACTTAATTCCTAAATGAGAGTCTACCTATAAGAAACACTCAAATAGTTTTAATACCAGCCAAAAATTTTAATGGAAAAGGTATCTTCTGCGTTTAAAACTTTCCAGTGTTGAAATATAAACAGCTTTTAGAACCTTGCCTTTTTCAAACTTTTAAAGCCACAGGACCCACTTTTTCAAAAACAAAATCTTATTGCATACTTCAATATAATCTTTTAAAGCCTATACCTCCTTTTTGTACATTAAAAAATAGCCGCCCTCCTCACCACTCTCTTGCCCTCCCCAGCCTTTCTGATAGGCCTCTGTGGGGAAGTATGCTGGGAGGGCAGAGCTGCTCCCATTAGAAAGGGGATAGGGAATGATGGGCTGAGTGCAGCCTTCTGCTTTTTTCCCGTGGCTACGGGCCCGGAGGCACAGCAGGGTTTGAAAATCACAGCTCTCTCCCGTCTGTTGCTCTAACTGTTGATCTGTCAGCCTTAAGGCTTGCACAGAGTTGCATAGAAACTTATATTCTGTTTTATTTTTAAGCACATTTAAACTAATACTCATTGTATCACTGCTTTCTGATCATCTCCCTTTGCCACAAACTGGTATCACATAGATGGCTATAGGATAAAAACGTAGACTTTCAGTAACAGCTCTTTCCTGTGGTGATCTTATATTGATTTTTCACATATATGAAATTTAGTTCAATAAGTGCTTTATATTTTAACCTTTAACGTACCCCAAATGTTAACCTAGACAACTGTAAATAACCCTAGATACATCTTCCTTGTGACGTAAGACTTGTGTATTATTAAAGAGCTAGGTTTCTGACTTCTTTCTTGAATATTACATGAAAAAAAAATTAGATCACCTTCAGCCACTTTAAAAAGGTTTTAATTAAATTATGAGGTAAATTTGTACTCAGAACACGATCAGGATCAGAACTGAGAATTCACTATGGCGCCATCACTTTGGCTTTGAAACAAATGTATGAATATATAGAGAGACCTGTAGTTGTAATTTAATATTATTATGGTAAATATGCTTTAGTAATCAAAAATATTTTCTGTAGAGTCGTGAATCAGGCACCATTCAGAGATACAGTCTTCCTAATATTGGTTTGATTCAAAAATACTCCCTTAATTGTCGAGCCTACCAGTTATCCTTGAATTGCAACTCCAGGTAAGTCTGAAAACTTTCCTCACGTACATGTTAGAAGTCATCCATTGGGATTGTTGTATTTATGTAATAAATGCAAAGACTTGTGTTTGTTTTAAACTTGTCTTACAGTTCAGTGTGGTTTTACTATAGTATATTTGTATTTAAATATTATATTTACTATACTGTGTCTAGATGTTTTCTCTCATTGGGCAAAATATAGAAACTCTAGTGTAATTAAAAAAAAAATTATTTGCATACCAGTTGCTTTAATCCCTTTGGATACTTTTTTCACAAGGAAGCAAAATGGAAAGCAGCCCATGTCTTCTATCAAATTTATAAATGTTAGTTTAAAGCCAGTTATTTATTTAAAGCCATTTCTACCTTATTCCCGGGTTCTGATGAACTTATTTTGAAGAATGGTGATAAGTAATTATATTCATGAAGGCAGATAGTACTTTTACAATTTTTTTTTCCCCTTCTCCAATTTCATTATTTGTAGTCGTCTTGCTATCATAGACATCTCAGGAGTTCTGACCTTCTTTGACTTGGATGCTCGGGTGACAGACAGCACAGGACAGCAAGTTATTGGCGAGTTGTTAAAATTGGAACGAAAAGATGTCTGGGATATGAAGTGGGCCAAAGATAATCCTGATTTGTTTGCAATGATGGAGAAGACAAGAATGTATGTTTTCAGAAACTTGGATCCTGAGGTAAAAACAAGAAATGAGCATTAACAGTACATAAATAATGAGGCAAATACCAAAACCTGGACATTTCCCCTTTGTTTCTTCAAGAAGTTTGTTGGTGTTGGCTGCATGAATTCTGGAAATAAATAGAAACATTTCTGTGGAATTTAAAAATATTTGGTCTTAAGTGGGATTAATATTTATCCTTTAAATATTCTCCACTTTCACTGAAAGGCACTTTCTAAGCATTTATCTATTCTTTTTAAAAGATGGAACCATGCTCACTAACTATATGGTCTTTATTTCTTTCCTTGTCAAAGTTTAAAACAAATAAAGTAGTCTTATTTACCAAAATTGCTTAAAACCACCAGCCAAAAAAATGTGGTTTTGGAATTGCCTTGCCCTTTCATTCTCTTTTGCCTGTTCTGTGCTTACCTTTGTCTTATGTATATTTACATGAACTTTATCACCTAGTAATCCATGTTCTTTATCATCCTGATAATCTTACGAACAGGCAAATGTGGACTGTGATTAATAATCTGCTCTCTCTGGGGTGTCAGAAAGCTGCTTTCTCACTGATTTTAAAGTTATATTTTTATTTTCTACTTGTGGCTCACATCTAATTTTTAGCTAATTTTTAGGCTCAGAATTTTCCTGTCAGTCTGCTTTGTATCAACTGCTAGCTGTTGTGTTTGGGAATTCAAAATAATTTGAGTGGTAGCCTAATCAAAACATCATTAAGAAGATAAATCTTTTAAACAATTTTTGAATTATCAGTGGATTTTCAATTTGGAATTTTCAATACTCCTGTTATACTCCACTAGTGGAAATAATAAGAGATGACTTGATAAGTGCTTTATGTCATTAATTGATGTTTGTTTGGACCTGTAGTTTCCTTCTTGGGAAGAAATTACATGCTGGGTCCCCTGAGCTACTGAAGATCTTCTGTAATTATTTAGTGGTAAACTAAACATCTTTAATACCCTGAATTATTTTTACATTTCCCCATTTGAGCCCTACTCAGGATCTTTGGGTTGGTCAGTGACCTGATGTAAATTGTTCTCAAAGGCTTTGTTAAAGCTTTTAGGATCTTTGTAATTTTCAGGCCCTGAGTAATGGCTCAAAGGAAGGGCATTCAGGGCTGCTGCATTTGACCTATATAAGCATGGACTTCTTTCAAGGGTTCAAAGAAAATTTGACCCTTGGTACAAAACAAGTGTGGAAATTTGACAGGTAACCATGGGATAAACTTGAGGATGGAAGTAAAATACTTTTTGAGTGTTAGGGTCCTTTTCCCATCCTTGGCCCTACTTGTATTAATTCCAAAATCATATGCCTGGAGCAGTGAGAGGATTATGCCTGGCTGTTCATAATGTGTGTGTAGCACACATGGTCAGTCTAGCACCAAGGGAAATCTTTGCCTGGTGGAAAGTGTTTCTTAAGTAGTTTTAAAAGAACAACCTTTTATTTATTTATTTTTGGAGTTTGTTGTCTGGCTTGGCAAGTACTTCAATTTCTATTAGATTTAGAGGTAGGTGGATTTCTTATAACATTACCATTGACTGGATTTCTTTATAAACCATGGTGTGCTGTTCTTTTCATTCGTGAGGACCCTGCCTGTGGTCCCTGTTTGGTTAGTTACTCTGCTAGTCACTCCTCTAGCATGTGAGGTCATACTCTTCAAAACTGAACTTACTAGAACTCCTTTAGGACATAGTATTCTGTGTTATTATTAAGGAGATAAACTGTTGTTTGATGGTTACTACAGAATACATTTTTATACGTTTGAGTGTTATTATGAATTCTAGTTTCATACCTTTCCTTAAATTGTAGACCTTTCTTCAGATTATGTGTGAGAAAAGGGTGCCATTTGTGTGCAAAATTCTAATTCATTGATAAAGCATATTTTCCTTGAGGATTAGGAAATGAGTATTTAATGTTGATATTCCCTGCTTGATCATTTTCATCTCCAGTGACCCTCTGAGGGTACTGATTCTTCGATTTCTTTGTTGACCCATTGATTTTTTAGTTTAGTTTAGATGTTGTTTAGTTTCCATGTGTTTGTTTTATTTCCAGTTTTCTTACTATAATTGATTTCTAGTTTTATACTGTTGTGGTCAGAAAAGATGCCTGATATCTTTTCAGTCTTTTAAAATTTATTGAGATTTGTTTTATGGCCTGGCATGTGATCTATCCTGGAGAATGTTCCATGAGCACTTGAAAAGAATGTATATTCTGCTGTGTTTGTGTCCTGTAGATAGCTTTTAAGTCCATTTGGTCTAATATGTCATTTAAGGCCACTGTTTTCTAATTGATTTTCTGTCTGGATGATCTTTCCATTGATGTAAGTAGGGAATAAAGTTCCCTAATATTATTGTATTACTGTCAGTTTCTCCCTTTACGTCTGTTAATATTTGCTTTATATATTTAGGTGATCCTATGTTAGGTGCATATATGTTTATGAATGTTATATCCTCTTCTTGGATTGACCCTTTTATCATTATATAATGCCCTTCCTTGTCTTTTGTTATAGACTTTGTTTTAAAGTCTATTTTGTCTGATATGAGTATTGCTACCCCAGCTTTCTTTTAATTTTTATGCATGTAATATCTTTTTCCATCCCTTCACTTTCAGTCCGTGTGTGTCTTTAGCTCTGAAGTGAGTCTCTTGTAGGCAGCATATAGATGGGTCTTGTTTTTTTTTATCCATTCAGCCACACTGTGTCTTTCGATTAGAGCATTTAGTCCATTTACAGTTAAAGTGATTATTGATAGATATGTACAGTACTTACTGCCATTTTGTTACTTGTTTTCTGGTTGCTTTTGTAGTTCTTCTCTGTTCTTTACTTTTTCTTTTAGTCTCTTTCCTTTTGGTCTGATGATCTTATTTAGTGTTATATTTGGGTTCCTGTCTCTTTGTTTTTGTGTATCTATTGTAGGTTTTTGGTTTGTGGCTGCCGTGAAGGTCATATATATGACATTTCTATATCTATATTTATATGTCCATATATCTATTTGTTTTAAACTGATAGTCATTTAAGTTCAATTGCACTTTGAAAGGTCTACATTTTTTCACCCCGCCCCCCACGTTTTATGTTTTGGATATTTTACATATTTATGTATGTCCTTTAACTGTTTTTTGTAGTCATAGTTGATTTTACAATGTTTTGTTTTTTAATCTTCATACTAGCTTTTTAAAGTGATTGATCCACTGCCTATACTATATATTTGCCTTTACCAGTGAGTTTTTTTTTTTCCCTTCCCATATTTTCTTAGTTCTTGGTGATTTTTACTATTCTGTCTTCCAGGTCGCTCATACATACTTCTAATATCATCTAATCTGTTGTTGATTCCTTCTCCTGTAGTTTTCATTTCAGTTACTGTGTTCTTCAGTTCTGGTTGGTTCTTTTTCATATTTTCTAATTCTTTGTTGAAGTTCTCACTATCTTCCTCTATTCTTTTCCCATGTTTGGTGAGCACTCTTAAGACCATTGTTTTGAACTCTTTTATCAGGTAAATTACTTGTTTCTGTTTCATGAGGGTTTTTCCCTGGGATTTTATGTTGTTCTTTCATTTGGAACATATTCCTCTATCTTCTCATTTTGTTTTACTTTCTCTTTTTGTCTCTATGAAATTAGGTGAAACAATTACCTATCCCATCCTTTAAGGTGTGTCCTTATGTGAGAACATCTGTATGCAGTCTGTGTGTGCCCAGTGGCTTTGGTGGGAGAGCTGCTTCTGAAGTGAGTGTAGGCCGGGACTTTTTCTAGGGTGTGCTGGGGCCGTTGCCTTGGAGGGGTGGGCTGGAGCTGGGGAGGGGAGTAGGGGGCTAGAACTGGAACCAGCATAGGTGGGGGCTTCTCCCGGGACTTTCTGGGGCTGCTGCCTTGGCAGAAGGTGGGGCTGGAGCCGGAAGGGCTACAGCCAGGGCCCTGTGCGTGCTGCGTCTTCTCCCGTGGTGCAGTGGTGGTTGCCACCTCTGTGGGGGGTGCTAGAGCTGCAGCCCAGTGCAGGCTGGGAGACTGTGCTGGTGCAGTCTTGGCAGGCAGGTCAGGGTTCCAGGCACTTTTCAATCTGCTGCCTCTGCAAGCAAGACTGTGCTTGCACCCTTTAAGAGCAGGGTCTCAGTTTCTTACAGCCCTCTGGTAAGCCCCACTGGTTTTAAAAATCAGCCAAGGGAGCTTGTCTTCCCAGTGCTGGACCCCAGGACTGGGGTGCTCAGTGTGGGGTGTGAACCCCTTGCTCCTTAGGGAAGATCCCCATGCTTGTGATAAGCCCTTCCGTCTCTAGGTTGCCTGCTAGGGGTGTGGGTCTTGGCTAGATCACTTCCCCTCCCCTCCTACCAGACTCGGTGTGTTTTATCTTTCTGCAGCCTTGGTTGTGGAAGAGCCATTCTGCTAGTCTTCTGTTCTATACGTAGGTGTAGTTTTGGTGTGTTTGTGGGAGGAACTGGGCTCAGGGTCTCCCTGTGCCATCTTGGTGCTGCCCGATCTCACTCCTTATCCTTCTATTTCTCCTTTTCTCTTTGTTTTTGGTATTATTTTTATCCACAAATCATCTTTTATGACTTTATCTTTTGACCCTCTTGCTTTGTTAAATTGTCTAGCTAAAAATAAAAAATTTCCTAGTGATTAACCTTTTTATAAGGGTACACTTAATTTACATGGAGTACCAAAATAAAGTATATGAAAGGCCCCTATAATTTATAAGAAATATTTTGTTACATGTGCTTTTTTTGTGAATTAAATTTTATTCTGATTTTTTCGGTTCATAAAAGCATACTGTTTGCCTATATGTAATATAATTTTTTGAGGAAATTTAGGGATTTTATAAAATTTTCTCATATAATTTTAGTCAATTTCTACCTTTTAAAGAAAATATACATTTAAAAACCCAATAAACACATATAATGTGCCTACAAGAGCCTCATTATTAAACTTAGACATATTAAATGCAAACTAAATATGATTCAATATTTACTTCTTATTTTCATCTTTTTAGTGTCTTACCATGATAATAATTTTTGTAGTTTCTATTATATATGAAGCACTAACTTTCAGAGTTATAAATTTGATATGTTATTTCATTTGGATTTAGGTTACTTTCTATTTCACTATGACATCACACACATATTTTAAAAAATTGCATTCTGGAGTTATGTTCATTATCAGACAACGTCATCCTATTCTTTTTACAGTGTTCTTGGAGGTGTTAAGTATATTGGGAGTGTATTTCTTTTACTAGGGATTTAGGACAACTACTTTACATTATAATATGCGTTTACCATACTTTATTTCTACAAGCCTGTATAACGCTAGGACAAGAACCAGACATATAGCAGGCTCATGTGTTTCCATGTTGGCAAATTAAATCTTCTTATGTAGGAAATGAATCTATCAAGGATGCCCTCCGGCTAATGTTACAGAGAACATACTTTTCAGTATGGTATGGGACTTTGATATATGTGCTTAGATACAAATATAGTGTTTGTCAATTTCATTAAATTTAATGTTGCATGGAATGAATAAGAATTATCAAACTGTATAAACCATCTTTGGATTAATTCAGAAAATTTGAACTGATACTGGATCCTATTAGGGAATTAATACTGATTATGTTAAGGTGTGATAATAGTAATGTGGCCATTGTAAGAGAACATCCTTATGTTTTAGAGATATGAAATAGTTAGGGGTGAAATGTCATGTCTAAATTTATTTTACTTTAAAATACCTTAGCCAAAAAATTGACTGAAGCATATTTCTAAAATGTGAATAATTATTTAGATGATGTGTATATGGGTGTTAATGACATTCTCTCTCCTTTTTTGTTGTTTTGAAAATTTTGATAATAAAAGTTAAAATCATGATATGGTAAAGAAGGAAAATTTTGTACAGTTAAACATAACATTTGTTTTTGTCTTTAAAGGAACCCATTCAGACTTCTGGATATATTTGTAATTTTGAGGATTTAGAAATTAAATCTGTTCTTTTGGATGAGATATTAAAGGTAATTCTTATTAAAAAAACAATTATATTTCTGTTGCTGGCTTGACTGGGACTCATTTTTGTACCAGGCAGTGTAGTGTCCTGGTTAGGAGTATGCAGTGAGGAGTTCCAGCCCTGCCCTGTCACTTATACAACCTTTAGACAGGTTCCTTCATCTTTTAAAGTTTCATTTTTCCTTTCCTGTTTATGAGCCTGTTTTTACCTCTATAAAATGTGGATAGTAATAGTACCTGTCTTACCGGATTGTTATTTTATAAGATAATGAGTGAAAAACAGCACAGTGCTATGACCAAGAGCTCATAAATGGTAGTTAGTTGTTTTCATTATTTTTATATTAATAACAGAGATACTGAAGAAATATTTGGCAATTTTCTTTAGTCTTTCGCTTGTTCTAGGATATTTGAGTAACTTTTTTATTTGGAGGTCCACTGTTCTCCTATTTTATTTTTCAGGTTTTATAAAATAATCTATTTCTAATTCCACATAAGGAATTCCAGATAATTTTTGAATCCCTACTTTGGCCTTCATTGAACGTTCTTTGAAAATTTTTTACTCTAAGAATGTATTGAAAGTTTACCTTCCTTTTATCTAAAATGTTTATTTTTCTATGTACTACATATGTTTTTTGGAATTGGAATAGTGGATTTTAAATTTCCAGAAGTTAGTTGCATTTTTGTAGCATGTTTTCATATTTTGGTTTGACATGTAAATTGCAGCTCTTTTATTGGGAACCAGTTGTCTTCTGTGTCATGACCACCCTGCCGCAGAAGGAATGGCCCCCACCCAAAATTTGGTTTGCGTGTAAAGAGTGATGACACCACAGATACACCAAAAGGGTGTAAAACGGTCTTACAAACTTAATGAGTTTTTAGGGGAGAAAGGATAGGCTTTCCAAGCTGCTCCAAAATTGGTTTGAGAGCAGGGAAAGGAGACTGGCTTGGGCTTTTTGGGCAGTTAGAGGGTGGGCCTAGGGTGAGGGTTCCCATGGGTAGGTAGAGATATGTGTGGTTTGAAACTCCTGCGTCACCAAGAGATGGAACGCTTATGCTTTCTTATCATCTTGTCCAGATGTGAGGCAGAAGGGGAAGGGGGAAGGGTGAGGCTTAAAAGCTATCAGCAGTCAAAGTCAAAAAGGAAGGTCTGAAGTTCTGTTACAATCTAGGTCTCTTAATGATTAACATTAGATAAACATCAGAACATTATCCTGTATAGCTGTAACCAGTATGTGGAAAGATAGATTTGGTAGATTAGATACATAAACAGAAGTAATTTTATAAAAATGACATCACTGTACAATCTACTTGTTTACTGTTTAGTTTTAATTCAATAATGTGACAGTGAATCTGAAGGAATAGTGGAACATTAATTTTTTTTCACCACAAATGATACAGTTTTTCTGGGTTAAGAAAAAAACTGAAGAACTAAGAGGTTATTGCTTTTAAACTACATCTTAATTTTTAATAGTATTGACTGTCCACTCTAAAAGATGGTGTTTTTACATTTTCTCCCTCTTTCTCTCTTCTTTTTGTTAGGCACATTGTTATTTTTATGTTGTCAAGATTTAGAACATTTACATTTTGTTTTGTAACCCTAATTTTCCACATATGTAGTCTTATATTTAAATGAAAGCTATTACCAGTCTTCTTCTACATTTTCTCTGTACATGAGTTCTTAATTTTGATTAATCTTTTAGCTGGCTGGATTTCATCGTTATAATTTTTTTCAAGAAAGGCTCATAGTTGCTGATTGCCTTAAATTCTGGAATGCTTAAAAATGCCTGTGATGTGTTGCTCTGATGATTATATTGACTTTTATGAAGAATTTTTTAAAACACATATTTAAACTGGTTAGATGTACTTTAAAATTCTTGATACACATTTTATGCATATCTAATACTAGGATAAAGAAAGTCAGAAAGAGAAAGACAAATACCGTATGCTAACACATATATATGGAATCTAAGAAAAAAGAAAATGTCATGAAGAACCTAGGGGTAAGACGGGAATAAAGACACAGACCTACTAGAGAATGGACTTGAGGATATGGGGAGGGGGAAGGGTAAGCTGTGACAAAGTGAGAGAGTGGCATGGACATACATACACTACCAAAAGTAAAATAGATAGCTAGTGGGAAGCAGCCGCATAGCACAGGGAGATCAGCTCAGTGCTTTGTGATCACCTAGAGGCAGGGTATAGGGAGGGTGGGAGGGAGGGAGACGCAAGAGGGAAGAGATATGAGGACATATGTATATGTATAACTGATTCACTTTGTTATAAAGCAGAAACTAACACACCATTGTAAAGCAATTATACTCCAATAAAGATGTTAAAAAAAAAAAAGAATAACTACAGTACTGTTGCCCGGTTTACTGGCAGGCGTTGTTAAACTGTGAGGGAAAACCAGGTTCTGTGTGACAATTTTGTTATCTGTCTGACTTATTACATGCAAAGCCGTAAAGAAAAGAATATTGTCATACCTTAGTTCCGTCTGAGGTCTTGTTGACCCAGGAAATATTTAGCTGAACTGTGGATTCCTTCAAGCATACAGTTTTAAGAAACAACACTGAGTGTTGTACACCTAAAACTAATGCAATGTTACATGCCAATTATATTTCAATAAAATAGGAAAAAGAAATAACATGAGAAATTTCTTGGAGGACTAGAGAAGGAGTGCAGAAGGAAAAGGACGGGAATTAACGTTCACTAAACTTCCTTTGTATGAGATGTTTGTTTGTGATTACAGCTGTACCTGGTAGATTTTACACAGACCTCATTTTTAGGTGAGGAAGGCTCTTAGTGGCTGACAATGATTTACCCAAAGTTCATCTGTTCATTGACTCAGCAAATATTTATTGAGAGCCAGTAAGACAGTTCCTGGCTTCAAGTAGAGGAGTTGGGGAGATAGGCAAGAACTTCATCAACTGGAAGAGGGGCAGGGGTGCTGTGGTTCAGTCAGTAGGTGTATCCCTTCAAAGGCCTGAAGCAAGAGAGCATTGGGTCAGTTCTGAGACTGTGAATAATGTGAATAACACGGCTAGGCATTGTGCTCAGTGTTTGATATGTGTTATCTCGCTTAATCCTCCCAATGCTAGGAAGTAAGTTTGATTACTATTCCATTTTTTCAGAGGAAGAATCTGAGGCTTGGAGAAATAAGCTGATTTGCCAGTGATACCCGGTTAGCAGTAGGCAAAAGCATGGTTTGACTCCAAGCTTTCTGGCTTCAAAGCCGGTGTGTGTAACTGTAGTGCTGGCAGAAATGAGGCTGGGGAGAGGTAATGGGGTAGGGGGCCCAGGTCATAAGTGACCTCGTATGCCTTGCTGTGGAGTTTAGACTTGATCCTGGAGTCGGTGGCGGAGTAGTGCAGGAGAATGATATGATTAGGTTTATATTTGGGGATGGCCCTGGCTTCCTGGGTGGGTAGGGAGTGGGGTAGGGCAGGTTCTAGAAAGAGCTGCCACATAACCAGCAAGGGATGGAATTAGGATTTGAGCTAAGGACTGTTTGAGTCCAAAACTCACGCTCTTTGCATCCTACTTTGTACGGTAGTTCCCTAAGAACTTTTCAGTTTCTAGATACAGGGGTTCAGTTGCAGGGTGGGGAAAGGGTATGTGTGGCTCAGTTAACCTTTTCAGAGAACTCTGGTCCATGGGAGCCATTACTCTTTTACACATGGGGGCTCTAATTTTCTTGTATGCTTCACTTTTTCGTTACTTAGAATATGTAGAATATCGGTGAGTTCGTGATAACTGTTTTCTTTCTCTGGCTGTTAGCTAGTTCTTTGCTGCAAGACTGGTCTTTAAATTTTTTTTTCTTTGTCAGGCTGCTAAATTATAAAAGGAAAGTAGTGATGAAAACCAGCCCTTTTTCTTTTTAAAAAAAAAAAATTGTCTGCTGCCCAACAGCATGTGGGCAGCACTTAAATTCTATTTAGCATTTTACTGTACTTGCTGTGTCATATTTCTGTCCATCTGTCTATCTGCCCATTAATCAGTCCTGTTTTTTAATATATTTCAGAGTTAGTACATATATACTTTAGCATGCATATCATTAATTAAAGTTCAGTAATTCAAGTTCCGTATTTGCTTATAGTTTTCTTTCACTTGAAATAAAATATGCATACAGTGAAATGCACAGATCTTAAGTGTATCAGTCAGTGAGTTATGACAAATGCATACGGTTGTGCAGTTCAAACCCCTGTCAAGATACAGAACATTACTATCATGCTAGAAAGTTCCCTCATGCCTCTTCCCAGTAAATCTGTCCATACCCACCCTCAGAGCAACTGCTATTTATAATTTTTCTTTTCAATAATAGAAAAAAAGAGTAGATTAAGGAGTGAGGGGTAGAGGCCCTGCACATGGTGTTTTCTGCTCCAGTGGAGGCTGGCGGCACTTGGGACGGGAAGAGAGTAGCTCCTGGGGAAAGACATTTTGAGCCGAGGGAGACAAGGCTGCATGATTGTAAGGGACCCCTTTGACGACTGTCCCCTTTTCCCCTGATTGCCTCAGGAGGGACTTCACTTGTGGACTGTGGGTGTTTTCCAGATAATTCAAAAGACCCACACATGGCAATTTCTCTTTTTCCCAGTTTTGCTAATAATATGATACAGTTGTTTGTTTGTTTGCTGTTTTTACTGTAAAAAAAAAAAAATACATACTCTAAAGGCAACTATTTGAATTTCTTTCTTTTCATCTTTACTTTTAGAATCCAGAATATCCAAACAAGGATTATATCATTAACTTTGAGATTCGGTCCCTGAGAGATAGCCGAGCACTGATTGAGAAGGTTGGAATTGAGGATGCATCTCAATTCATAGAGGATAATCCACACCCCCGACTTTGGTATTTAAAAATAAATAAATAAAACCTCTCAACTTTTCAGGTGTAAAGTCTCAGCTCTGTCGTCCCCTGCTCTCATACGAGGCTCCTGATGGGAATAGGCTTCTGTTCTTATTCTTTTTAGATTTAAAATATAGAAATTTATTTTAGATTCGGAAGTATTCAACATGAGCATAACATTATATGAAACGTATAAATGTGTTAAAATAATCACTTTCCACCACGTTTCACTAGAAACAGTAGGTGTAATAATTGAATTCTGATTCAAGACTTGTTTATCCTTTAACTCGCCATTGGCTTTTCTGTTTCTCTTTTTAATAAAGGCGCCTACTGGCTGAAGCAGCTCTTCAGAAACTGGATTTGCACACTGCAGAGCAAGCGTTTGTGCGTTGCAAAGATTACCAAGGCATTAAGTTTGTGAAGCGCCTGGGTAACCTGCAGAGTGAGTCCATGAAGCAGGCGGAAGTGGCTGCCTACTTCGGCAGGTTCGAAGAGGCTGAAAGGATGTATCTCGATATGGACAGAAGGTAAGTGATAAAGGTGCAGGCATCCGGACTAATTCCAGAATTTGTGATTTTTTTTTTCACAAATGAGGATTGTAAAATAGACTAGATGTATCATACCATCTCTTTCAGAAAATAATTTCAATTTGGATTACAACCTAGATAGTCTACATGACCTTCATTAATTTATGCTTTGTAATTTGGGGGCAGCTTTCTTCTCTGTTTTTATGTAGTGTTAATGACTGGCCATGGGAGACTTTTCACTTGGTAGGAAAAAAATTCATATGACTGCAGAGACAGGAGGCTTTATCATTTACTATACCACTCATTATTTGGGTTCTCTTTTTTGGTTTAGGCCATTATTTAATTTTCAGTTGTCAAGGAGCATGAAATAAAAATCAAAGGTATTTAGGGATTGAGTTTTATTCTTTATATTTCATTTTTATTTATATAAAATACTGTATGAACTTCATTTCAGCTGTGAACATTATATCTAATTTTTATTATCTGTACTTTCAGGAGGTTGCTAATACAACTCAAGCCCTGAAAAGAAACATAAAACCAAACATGTAAACATGAAATAAGTCTGATTATGTCTTAAGAAATTGATGAAAAGAAGTGATTATTATTTAAGTCATTATTTTGCCAAGTAAATTGAAAGTCTACAAAAATAAGAGGCAGGAAATTGTTTCCTCTTTCCTTTTGCAGGTTCTCTGCATTGCCTCTTACCTGGTGAGGCTAAATTTCTAAAATGTTTGGAGTTACCTTATCTGTCTCTTCATTGTTGTGTATTCTCAGTACCTTAGAACTGAACCTAGCACATAGTAGGCACTTGATAGATACTTGGTGAATGAATGAATGAATGTCATTTTTTGTAGAGATCTGGCTATTGGCCTCCGGCTGAAGTTGGGAGATTGGTTTCGAGTACTCCAACTCCTGAAAACTGGGTCTGGTGATGCGGATGACAGTCTCCTTGAACAAGCCCACAATGCCATCGGAGACTACTTTGCTGATCGGCAAAAGTGGTAGGTAACCTATCTGGGCCCCCTCATCCGTTCATTTGGCACTTAAAATTGTAACTGCCTGAGTACTTCCCTATGAAATAATGCTAGGGAAATGAAGACCATCCTTCCAGATCCCAAAATTCACATAGCTCTGGATTCACATTGAGGAGCAAGAGATCCTTCAAGCTGTCAGGTAAGCACTGTAAGACTTTGGAGTTTCAAAACCCAGAAGACTTATACTGTAGTTCCAGGTAGCTTTCTACTGTTTGAGGCCACAGTTTATATTTTCTTTTGTTATTATAGATTATTTTCAGAAATCATTGACTTTTATTCTTAAGTTATTTTGATCAGTATGCTTATTTATTTATGTCAGTGTTTGGAAATACAACTGTATATCAGATTAAAACATATTTCTTAAGAACATTCAAAGAATGTTGTAACTAAAATATGCTATGCAGTCTTTAGTTTAGTTTTGCTTTTTGTTCAATTTATATTCTTCAAAGACATGCTGTAACTAAAGATGATTAGAATAATACTAGTGCTGGCATTCTAATGAAAGAACATTTTTAGTAAAAGTGCTTGTTTACGAGGAGATTCACATTAGTTTTAAAAGGTTTTTTTTTTTTCTTTCCATAGGTTGAATGCTGTACAATATTATGTACAAGGCCGGAACCAGGAACGCTTAGCTGAGTGTTATTATATGTTAGAGGATTATGAGGGATTGGAGAATCTTGCCAGTTCACTTCCAGAAAACCACAAGTTGCTTCCAGTAGGTATTATAAATTTCAATTTTTGGAGTTGTTAGGTTACTTTATAAGGTTTTTATGTTGTAGTCTGGAAATGTCCTCTGCAATATAGAAAATTAAAAATTAACTAAAACTTTACAGTTTCTTAGGTATGGAATGATGCTTTAGTTATTAAAACAATTTACCAATATTACAGAATGCTTGAAACTGGAGAGGAAGAAATCAGTCATATTCCTACTATTTTAACATGATCACAGTCTTGTGTAGGCTTCTCAGTTTTGTAAACTTGCTTTAAAAAATTAGCTGAGGGCTTCCCTGGTGGCGCAGTGCTTGAGAGTCCGCCTGCCGATGCAGGAGACGCGGGTTCGTGCCCCGTTTCGGGAAGATCCCACAGGCCGCGGAGCGGCTGGGCCCGTGAGCCATGGAAAAAAAAAAAAAAAAAAAAAAAAAAATTAGCTGAACACGTGAAATATTTACAGATGAAATGACATGTTGTCAGAGATTCGCTTCAAAATGATTTGAGGTGGGTCTGGGGAGTAGTGTGTGCGTATATATGTTTGAAATTTGCTATAAGAAAAGTTTAAGATAGCTTAAACTTTTATTAGGTTCACAATAAACTTTTATTAGGTTATATTAGCAATAAAAGTCAAGATAGCTTGACTTTTATTGGGTTATATTAACAATAAAGGATTTAATGTTGAAAAAAAGAGAAACTAAAAGCAGAGTTCTCTATAACTTTGTTCTAAATTTTCTTTTTAAGGCTTTTTAAATTAATTGTTGAATAATGTAAGTGAGCTTGTATTTTATTTGTTTTATCAGAAAGGTAAATCACTGAGTTGTACGAGACCTGGAGAGGTAGTAGCTCTCAACTGCAGGGTCTGGACGTATATCAGCCGTGGGTTCTGCTACAAAATTTTGTCAGTTACTTAATAGATGAGTATAGAATTCTGTTAATTCAGTTCTTTTCTCTATTGTGAATTAGAGCAATTATCCCTGTAATAATGGCATTTTTATACACCCTTATTCTCAATCCTATATGTTCACTTGAGTAGGAAAACTGAAATTACTTACAACCCTGGGATTAGGGACTGTGTATCTGACATTATACTGTCATCTGTTAGGTGTGTCTGATGACGCAGAAAAAAATGTTGCTGTACGGTATCCAGAGCAGTAATATTACTGATTAAGTACTAAGTAATTATAGCTATAATAATTAAATATTTAAAATAATTAAAACTTTTCAGTAGTACTGCAAATTTTAAATCAAGTTTTGGAGGATTTTTTAATAATATGGGAAAATGTACAAAATATTTAAGTGAGGAACACAGGATACAAAACTATATATAATATGATTACGATACATTCACAAACACACATATACATATAATTCACAGGACACAGATATTAGGAAATTACACCAGAATAGAACGAGAGGTTTCTTATGGGAATAAGATTATGTGTACCTTTATTTTTCATCTTTTCTAATTTTTTTACCATAAGAATGTATTACTTTATAATCAGGAAAATATAAGCATTACTTTGAAAGAGATGGTTGGGTACAAAATTGTACTTTTATGATATATCCCAAAATATTTTAGGAGTAGGGATGGGGAGAGAAATCTCTGACCAGTTAGATATTAAGAAAGAAAGAAGAGTGATATTCTGAAGATGGCAAGTACAGCCCAAGGGTGTGATCGGTGGTTGTTGTGGTTCTCCTCTGTTTTTGGTCCAGCTTCCGGAACTGATGAATGGCCAGCTTGTCTGGGGCATTGCTTTATAGAGGGATTTGAGAGCCCTCTGAGTGTCAGGTTTCCCTTAAACCTCTAATTAATGATCGACATTGAGTATAACATCAATTGTCTTAAAGGGTTTTTTTTACTTGCTAGTGTGGGGTTTGTTTTGGAGCTTGGTATTTCTGTAAGCTAGCTACTGCACTGAGAGAAGGTAAGAGTGCAGTATCTTCAGAACCTGGTTGAAAATAAGATCCGTGCTGTGAGACAGTGAAGCCCAGATTTTATAGAAGGTGATGTTTTAGCATCTCTTCTGGTTTGTAGCCACTGCCCCTATGTCCATTTAAAAGAAAAATTACTGTAGCCACCAGAAAATTTAATATTCTCATGTCCCTATGGAGTTTTATAAGTTAAAATATAAGTGATTTCCTTGTTCTATGAGATCGATAGTATTATTTTGTCCACAGGAAATAGCACAGATGTTCGTGAGAGCTGGAATGTGCGAACAAGCAGTGACTGCGTTTTTGAAATGTAATCAACCAAAGGCAGCAGTGGATACCTGTGTACATCTCAACCGAGTAAGGAGCTGAAAAGTAAAGTCACCACAGTGATGCTTTAAAGACTGTTGCCAGTAAGGGTTGGAGAGCTTGAGATGGATTTTGTGAAAGGAGCCAGATAGTTTCTTACTTAGTTGAGGACTGAGAAAATGTCGGAATTTGCATTTGCCTCTTGAAATGCTACCATTAAGGGTGACCCGCTCATAACTAACTCAGTATGGGAACCTGAACAAACCCTGTGCTTTTAGTCTGGCAAGTTTTTGTCTGGAAGTAATTTCATAATTTTCTGCATTTTATTAGGCTTGGGTTTTGTTTCCAAAGAAGGACCAGTTAATGGTCATTGCAAGAGGAAGGAATTGAGTTACTTTATCAGTATTTATTTTGGCAAATCTATTTTCCTTTCCCCTTATAGAAAACACATATTTGATATTTTTAAGAGCTGGAATTTAACTAAAATTAAAATGCAGAATTGTTGAAATTGTTGACTATCAATGTATTCTTTTAAGTATTTTCTTGAAGTATTTTATAAAGCTCCATTTGCTTTATAAAAATAACTTTTAAATGTTAAATCTGATAGGACATTTTCTTAACTGAAATTGTGTATTTTGTTACTATAAACAAATGTATCTTTTTCTTGCTCATAGTTTGTGAAAAATTAGAATTATAAGATTAATGTGATTATAAACTTTGATGCTTTCTCTTTCAGATGTACTTCTTAAGCAAATCAGTCTTAGATCATTTGACTATTTTGACATGTTTGACTCCTAAAATTTATAATTGCTCTGATTTTAAGTGATTTTTAAAAACATATACCAGTTTTTTATTTTGATATAGTGTTATTTATTATTATAAACCTAAAGCTTTATTGTATGTGTTTTAAGACATATCTGACTATAAATGCTTGGGTAATTGTGTGCTATATATATGTTTTCCCCAGTGGAACAAAGCTGTTGAATTGGCTAAAAGTCATAATATGAAAGAAATTGGTTCCCTGTTAGCGAGGTATGCATCTCATTTATTGGAAAAGAATAAAATTCTTGATGCCATAGAACTCTATCGGAAAGCCAGTTACTTTTATGATGCTGCTAAGCTGATGTTTAAGGTAATGTAATAATCTTGGTGAGTATTTGGCTTGTTCTAGTTACCAGTGCTTTCTTATAACTCAAGGATACATTTTCCATTTTTTGGAAGCAATTATTTGTTAAAGCAAAATCCCTCTCATTTATTACTGCTATAACTATGTGTTATCTTAGTATTATTACATTTTACTAAAAAAGGCTGTTTATTACTTTTAGCACCTTATTGATGCTTAAGCAGTTTTATATTTACTTAATACCGAAGTTAACAGAGAATTATAGAATTTTCAGGGACCATAAAGTACAAATTCCCTTAACTGGAATTTAAATCCTGATGATAACAAAACTTTAAGTCCTTTTAAATGTGCAAGTTTTAAAGACATTACACTTTTTTTTTTATTTAAGAAAGATTTTATTATATATCACTTTTTTTTTTATACAGCAGGTTCTTATTAGTTATCTATTTTATACATATTAGTGTATATACGTCAATCCCAATCTCGAGGTTACACTTTTCATAGTATGCATTTGGAGGGAACGTGACTAGTAACAGTATTAATGTATGCAAATTTTACATTCTAGTCTATACTTTTCCCATTCGATTTAATGACAAAGGAAAAATTTCCCTCCGAATCATTTAAAAAAATTTAAATTTCTGAAGGATGTACCACGTTAAAGCCATCTTATCACTGGGTACTTGGAACATTATTTAAAAAATCTCTTCGGGGGCTTCCCCGGTGGCGCAGTGGTTGAGAGTCTGCCTGCCGATGCAGGGGACACAGGTTCGAGCCCTGGAATGGGAAGATCCCACATGCCGCGGAGCAACTGGGCCCGTGAGCCACAGCTACTGAGCCTGCGCGTCTGGAGCCTGTGCTCCGCAACAAGAGAGGCCGTGGTGGAGAGAGGCCCGCGCACCGCGATGAAGAGTGGTCCCCGCCTGCCACAACTGGAGAAAGCCCTCGCGTAGAAACGAAGACCCAACGCAGCCAAAAAAAAAAAAATCTCTTCGTTATATAAAATACTAGCCATTCTATGAAAGCTTTTCTTCATTTTGATTTCATTATTTATCAGCATCTGTTATTTTCTCAAATTGTTTTGAGTTCTAACTCTAATGGCTAAATCCTAAGGAAAGAACTAAGTACTTATCAGTACTATGGAAAAGAAAATGGGTGGTATTTATATTCCACCCTACTGACTTTCCTCCTGTTTTTAGAGAATCATATTTCAGAAATGGTAATATTTGTACAAGTATAGATTAAGAAATATTTTCCCCCAATTCTTTAAATGTTTAAAGATTGCAGATGAAGAGGCAAAGAAAAGAACTAAACCTTTACGTGTTAAGAAGCTCTATGTACTATCAGCTTTACTTATAGAGCAGTACCATGAGCAAGTGAAAAATGCCCAGCGAGGAAAAGTTAAAGGAAAGAGCTCAGAGGTAAGGTAGAACATTAAGTAACATTAAGTCATCTGAAGTGTTAAGGCAAAAAGAGCTATCAAACTTCTCTTTATGGACAGGCCATTTAATGTACTTGTTTGCATTTATTTTCTTAAATGATATGAGGAAAAGGAATGACTGATTTGGAATTACCGCTCACATTCAGACATCTCAACTTGGAAATATTGAAAATTATATTTTTTTTACTAATCTGTAATCTTTGCTTAAATTCCTTACTTGGTAAATCCTTTCTAATCAGTGAGTTTTAAAAACTTTCCTAAAATTATATATATAATTTTAATGTGCAGATGAGCCTTATATTAACTTAAAGTTTAATCAATTCTATTTAAAACTTTGGTGTTACTATGGGGAGAAGAGTCCTTTCACAATGTACCAGTTTACAAATCACCACAAAGTACACTTTAAATATCTTACAGTTTGATTTGTCAATTATACCTCAATAAAACTGAAGAAAAAATTTGATCATATCAGTTTAACAAAATGTGAATTATAATGGAGACATTAAGTCTGTAGTGACAGTTTTATAATGATAAAATCTGCTGAGCTATTTTAATGTATTGATATACCAGTTTCAGAAATCATCTCTATTGGAAGGACCATTGTTAGGGTTGTGCTGACAGAAAATGTGGGTCTGCTTTACTTGTAGGCCACTTCTGCTTTGGCTGGTTTGCTGGAAGGAGAAGTTCTGTCTACAACTAGTCGTTTCACAGATAATGCTTGGAGAGGGGCTGAGGCTTACCACTTCTTTGTACTGGCGCAGAGGCAGCTCTACGAGGGCTGTGTTGACAATGCATTGAAGACAGGTGGGCATATTACCTAATGTATATAACATGTCTAAAAAGTCATAAATTGTAGATGAAGGGCTAGCTCCTTCAAGTTGCCCTTATGTTAATTTCAATGACACTTTTTTTCTGTGGACTTATTTTCATATATTTGAGGTTTGCTGTTTACGATCTGTTTTTCACATTCCCTTTTTAAAGTTCTTTTTATTTTTTAATACATGGAGAGCAATATATACGGTTCACAGAAAAACCAGAAGTTTGAGATAAGCAAAAAGAACATTTATAGCATTCACTATCACTTAAACACTTAATAGCCCAGTTCATATCCTTGTGTGTGTGTGTGTGTGTGTGTGTGTATGTGTATATATATATAAAATATAAACTATAAATATTTACATATTTAATATCTGTAATATGTATTACATTATGTATAATAATTATATAAAATATATATTTAAATAAAAATAAGTGCATATATTTAGAAATAATTTGTTTTTTTAAATATTGAGAGTGTAACAAACCATACTTTTATGTACTTTTAAAAAAACATAATGATATGTTGTAAAATATTTCGGTATTAGTAGATAGATTTCTGTAGCATTTAACTGTATGTTAAATGTTTTTTATAAAAATGATACTTACGTAACAATTTCAACCAAAACAGAAAAAAATTTTAAAAAAGTAAAATAATCTTATAATTCAGAGATAATCATTGCTAACATTTGGGTGAACCTCCTTTTAGACATTTTTTCCAAGCCTATACAATTGTATAGTTTTATTTAAAATAATATCACACAATGTATGTTGCTCCTGAGTTTGATTTTTACCCTCAACAGTATATTGCAGTTATCTTTCTATGTTGACAAATGCAGATCTATGTTGTCATTTTCAATACCTATATAATGTGCCATCGTATTTATTTACTATAATTTATAGAAGGTTATTTACATGTAGTATCAGGATCTTCATTTCTGGATTAACAATATCTTCAAGTTTAGATAGGTTAACTCCAAAAGAGCATAATTATGAGAATTATGTTATAAACCAAAGCATATGAATGACTAAATTGTTACAGCGCTTTCAGATGGGCCATGACAGCATTGCCGGCACTGTCACTACCCACCCTGGGTCACACTGGTTGGGCCACTGTGAAATAGCCATCACCAGCACACATCATACCCCAATACATCATCAATCTATAGTACAATGGCATCATCTTTAAAAGAAACCTTCTTAGAGAAATTCTTTTATTTGAATGTTTCTGGAATTCTATAGTGATGACTTTTCTTTTTCTTTATTCATTATTTTTGTAAGAGCTCTTTAGAAATTATATATAGTAACCCTCTGTCATATCTGTCGATTTTCCCTGGCATTTATAAGTTACAATTACTTAACCTCTCTAAGCTTCAGTTTCTTTTTGTGAAAAGTAGGGATAATAGGATCTTCTTCATAGGGTTGTTTTGAGGATTAAGTGAGAAATTTATGAAAAGAAAATTTACTTATTATAGTGCCTGGATATTGTGAGCCCTCGAGAAGTGGCAGTCATGATGATGATATTGACAGTGGCTTTTTACATAGTCCTATCAATCAGTCTTGATAGGGGTCATGCTCAGGAAGTCCTTCACTTCAAGGTTATTAAATATTGTATTTTATTTTAACTTCTTAGTTATTGCAAAAGCATTTATTAAAAACTTATTCATCCCTCACGGATTTGAAATTCTACCTTTATGAAACTAAATTCACACATTTTGTTAATCTCATCCTAGGCTGTTATTTTCTAGACATGGACCTCTGTGTCTGTACTTTCTCTTATTTACCTTACTTTTACATTTTAATATCTGGAATTTCTGTTATCCTTCATTCCTCTTCTTTTATGAAAAACATTTTGGGTATTTGCTTGCATTTGTTCATTCAGATTAACTTTAGAATCTTTCTGAAGGTGGGAAGAGTTTCAATGAAGTCCTAGTGGATTTTGAATTAGAATTGCATTACTTTAATGTATTAATATTGGGATCATTGATATATTTATAATATTGAGTTTTCTCATCCAGAAACATCAATTTTTAAAAACGTTTTGTATATCTGTGTTTCCCTCTAAAGTTCTGTAGTTTTATTGTATGTTCTGTACATTTCTCTTGTAGCTGATTCCTGTTTTTGTCATTGTTAGCACTGGGGAATGTACCTTTTTTTCTAATTGATTATCAGCTATACATAGGAATCATTTTTTTTTTTTTAACATCTTTATTGGGGTATAATTGCTTTACAATGGTGTGTTAGTTTCTGCTTTATAACAGAGTGAGTCAGTTATACATATACATATGTTCCCATATCTCTTCCCTCTTTGTCTCCCTCCCTCCCACCCTCCCTATCCCACCCCTCCAGACAGCCACAAAGAACCGAGCCGGTTTCCCTGTGCCATGCGGCTGCTTCCCACTGGCTATCTACCTTACGTTTGTTAGTATATATATGTCCATGTCTCTCTCTCGCCCTAACACACCTCACCCTTCCCCCTCCCCATATCCTCAAGTCTGTTCTCCAGTAGGTCTCTGTCTTTATTCCTGTTTTACCCCTAGGTTCTTCATAACATTTTTTTTTCTTAAATTCCATATATATGTGTTAGCATACGGTATTTGTCCTTCTCTTTCTGACTTACTTCACTCTGTATGACAGACTCTAGATCTATCCACCTCATTACAAATAGCTCAATTTCGTTTCTTTTTATGGCTGAGTAATATTCCATTGTATATATGTGCCACATCTTCTTTATCCATTCATCCGACGACGGGCACTTAGGTTGTTTCCATCTCCGGGCTATTGTAAATAGAGCTGCAATGAACATTTTGGTACATGACTCTTTCTGAATTCTGGTTTCCTCAGGGTATATACCTAGTAGTGGGATTGCTGGGTCATATGGTAGTTCTATTTGTAGTTTTTTAAGGAACCTCCATACTGTTCTCCATAGTGGCTGAACCAATTCACATTCCCACCAGCAGTGCAAGAGTGTTCCCTTTTCTCCACACCCTCTCCAGCATTTATTGTTTCTAGATTTTTTGATGATGGCCATTCTGACTGGTGTGAGATGATATCTCATTGTAGTTTTGATTTGCATTTCTCTAATGATTAATGATGTTGAGCATTCTTTCATGTGTTTGTTGGCAGTCTGTATATCTTCTTTGGAGAAATGTCTATTTAGGTCTTCTGCCCATTTTTGGATTGGGTTGTTTATTTTTTTGTTATTGAGCTGCATGAGCTGCCTGTAAATTTTAGAGATTAATCCTTTGTCAGTTGATTCATTTGCAAATATTTTCTCCCATTCTGAGGGCTGTCTTTTGGTCTTGTTTATGGTTTCCTTTGCTGTGCAAAAGCTTTGAAGTTTCATTAGGTCCCATTTGTTTATTTTTGTTTTTATCTCCATTACTCTAGGAGATGGGTCAAGAAGGATCTTGCTGTGATTTATGTCATAGAGTGTTCTGCCTATGTTTTCCTCTAAGAGTTTGATAGTTTCTGGCCTTACATTTAGGTCTTTAATCCATTTTGAGCTTATTTTTGTGTATGGTGTTAGGGAGTGATCTAATCTCATACTTTTACATGTACCTATCCAATTTTCCCAGCACCACTTATTGAAGAGGCTGTCCTTTCTCCACTGTATATTCCTGCCACCTTTATCAAAGATAAGGTGACCATATGTGCATGGGTTTATCTCTGGGCTTTCTATCCTATTCCATTGATCTATCTTTCTGTTTTTGTGCCAGTACCATACTGTCTTGATTACTGTAGCTTTGTAGTATAGTCTGAAGTCAGGCAGCCTGATTCCTCCAGCTCCATTTTTTGTTCTCAAGATTGCTTTGGCTATTCGGGGTCTTTTGTGTTTCCATACAAATTGTGAAATTTTTTGTTCTAGTTCTGTGAAAAATGCCAGTGGTAGTTTGATAGGGATTGCATTGAATCTATAGATTGCTTTGGGAAGTAGAGTCATTTTCACAATGTTGATTCTTCCAATCCAAGAACATGGTATATCTCTCCATCTGTTTGTATCATCTTTAATTTCTTTCATCAGTGTCTTATAATTTTCTGCATACAGGTCTTTTGTCTCCTTAGGTAGGTTTATTCCTAGATATTTTATTCTTTTTGTTGCAATGGTAAATGGGAGTGTTTTCTTGATTTCACTTTCAGATTTTTCATCATTAGTATATAGGAATGCCAGAGATTTCTGTGCATTAATTTTGTATCCTGCTACTTTACCAAATTCATTGATTAGCTCTAGTAGTTTTCTGGTAGCATCTTTAGGATTCTCTATGTATAGTATCATGTCATCTGCAAACAGTGACAGCTTTACTTCTTCTTTTCCGATTTGGATTCCTTTTATTTCCTTTTCTTCTCTGATTGCTGTGGCTAAAACTTCCAAAACTATGTTGAATAAGAGTGGTGAGAGTGGGCAACCTTGTCTTGTTCCTGACCTTAGTGGAAATGCTTTCAGTTTTTCGCCATTGAGGATGATGTTGGCTGTGGGCTTGTCATATACGGCCTTTATTATATTGAGGAAAGTTCCCTCTACACCTACTTTCTGCAGGGTTTTTATCATAAATGGGTGTTGAATTTTGTCAAAAGCTTTCTCTGCATCTATTGAGATGATCATATGGTTTTTCTCCTTCAATTTGTTAATATGGTTAATCACATTGATAGATTTGCGTATATTGAAGAATCCTTGCATTCCTGGAATAAACCCCACTTGATCATGGTGTATGATCCTTTTAATGTGCTGTTGGATTCTGTTTGCTAGTATTTTGTTGAGGATTTTTGCATCTATGTTCATCAGTGATATTGGCCTGTAGTTTTCTTTCTTTGTGACATCCTTGTCTGGTTTTGGTATCAAGGTGATGGTGGCCTCGTAGAATGAGTTTGGGAGTGTTCCTCCCTCTGCTATATTTTGGAAGAGTTTGAGAAGAATAGGTGTTAGCTCTTCTCTAAATGTTTGATAGAATTCGCCTGTGAAGCCATCTGGTCCTGGGCTTTTGTTTGTT